TGTAGAATACAGGTGGATATAAAAGACATCCGACACACAACACAAGGAGGTGTGTATCTGTGGACTGTGCCAGACATGGGAGGCTGAGAGAAATGCACTTCCCGCCCACAGAGGAAAGAAAAATCTTCACTGAGAGAGACTTTCATAGCTAAAAATAAGAAAAAACGTATGCTAGCACTACCTCTCTGGCAGCCAGATACATTAGAATCTGCCACAAAATTACAAATGAATAATTATGAGCTTCCATCAAACACCTTTCTAGAATTGTATTTGGGAACAGTTCATTTTATTTATAATTCACTGTTTAATCAGTTCAGTCTAAAGTGCATCTGAGTCATTTTTCTCTGCAATGACAAGTTCACAGTATTTTGTTACTCCATGCACTGTGCACATCAAAATGAAAAGGACATTACATTTAATAAAACTTAAAATTATACAAAAAAGAAAGACAGCAAGATGTAGGTGTAAAGAAAGAAAAGAGATAAAAGAGCAAAAATAGACAGAATATTAAATAAAATAAAAATAAAAGACAACAAGCAGAATTCTGAGAAAAGAGCTGCGATAGAAAATATAAAGAACGGGGAAGGCAGAGAAAGCAAAATGGCAGAAAAAGTGATTGGGCTGGACGGATGGAAATAGAACAGGAAATGGAAAACAATGAGATGATGACAGAAACAGAAAAATGAAAAGAGAAAAAAGGTTTCTAGAAATGGAGTCTGTGCAGTGGAACTTCATTACATTTTAATGTGTTTCTTCATTACATTCGCAGCTACAAAAGCTCTATTAATTGTTCTTCACTGAATTAGTAACATTTGTGCAAGAAAAGTATTACTTGGTGACTTTAAAATGCCCATAGGTGTGAATGTGAGGTTGTCCATCTCAATGAGACTCCTGAGATTGACTGGTGACCCAGAGTGTACCTTTTCACATTGGACATTCTTGCCCAATGTCGGAAGGAAACTTTTCCAGCCCCCCACCACCCTCTAAAGGACTAGCATCTAATAGATGGATGGAAAATGACAACACGACAGGGCCATGTATCTATTAAAACATGAAAAACATTTGACAATAATTAAGATCCAGAAAGAAAACCGATATCATAACTTCCAAAAGGGATATCATAACTTCCAAAAGGGAACCTATAGTAGCTAATATATATATATATATATATATATAAAATATATACAATTATTCGCCAAGTGCTAAAGGATTCTTTAACTGAGGTCTGAGTGGGGGTAATTTTAGTCCAAAAGATTTCATTGTTTTTCTTCACAGTGGAAACTCTTTTCATAGCATTCAAGAGATGCTGTTCTGAATAAAAGTCTTATAAAACTCAAAAAATGTAGTCTTATGTTAAAAAAAAAAAAAAGGTCTTGGAGCGCTATTGTAGCTAAAGGCTAAATGACTGCAGTTCGGTTCCAGCTAGTGATCTCTGTTGCATGCCATACTCACCAAAAAATAAAAGAGGCTTAACTACTGCACTTATGGTAGCTGAAGTCTAGTATTTGTGTTTCCATAATTCAAATATTGAAGTCATGAATAAATGTGAACGATCAAGACTCATTCCTTAAAACTGAAGATTACTCAACACCACGCTCTACTGAATGACAAGTTTTTGAGAGGAGTTGAATTTAGTCAAATTACAAATATCACTGCAGGGCAGTTTTAAATATCTGTCAGCTGAGGCTCTGGGACTGAAGGTATCAGGCCTTAAATTCAAAGCCAAGAGGTTGACAGCACTGATCAAGGTCCCTTAGCTCAATGTGAAGGCCTCAGCTTCACAGTCTCCCACTTATGGAGCTATGGGGTCTCAAATCTATACAGGAGGTGAAGTTGAAGGAGAGAGTCACATAAAAACCTCCTCTGGCTCTCTTGAAATAAGAGCTATTTTGTCATTGTATATACGTGTACAAATGTTTAAGGTCCTGCACACCAGTACAGAAGCTTCTAGACTAAATACAAAGTCCCATGGCCATGGTCTACATGAATCCACACAGGTCAAATCAGTCAAAACAAATCAAAACAATTGTGTTAAGCTTTATTTATTCAGGAAGTTCAATATCTATTATACCTAAGAGCAAATTACATACACACAAGATCACAGCAAGACAAGGCATTCACACAAAACAATCATCACACACACATTAGACAGACACTAGAACAATTATTGTTATTATCCAGAAACTAAACTTACTGAGAGGAATAAGGAATAACTTTTATTATTTTAGGTTGTTTAGTAATTCATTCCAGTAGTAGGGTAGGGTGGATAGTTCTGGTACTGTGGTAAATGGCATCCAATGGTTTATAGTTAGCAGCATGAGCATTATGCCCTTTTACTGAGATGGTACACACCTTTTTATTGCTGTTATTTTAGTATCATAGAAACACTTTGACAGCACTCTGACCCCAAATGTTCAATAGCACCATGACTGCTGCAAAGGAATGAATTCAACTTTATTTTTTGGAAGTTTTATGCTCTCAACAAATTGTAGTCTACAAGCTGACATTCAAATTCAACTTCATCTCCCAAAAGTATACTGTATGCAGGTAGATTTAAATAGCTGAAAGAAATGGAAGAAGGGCTGGAACATAGAGAGCTGCAGTCTGCTTCTAGACAGTGGACTAGAGCAGTAAAACAAATATCTGAAAACATGGGAACACTGTCAAACACATATCTGCATTTTCTCTTATTCCACCCAAACTGGTTTACAGAAATAGAAGAAGATGTGGAGTTATTTTTCTTATAAGGAGACACAAGGAGGACAAAGTCTGAACAAATCAAAGCCCCTGTGCAAAAGTTCCTAAAATCCTCTCCAAGTGAAGCAGCACATTGAGTTTTTTTAAATTTATTTCTTTTTTATTGTTTTCAGATTGTAGTAAAGACGGACTTTTCTATATTTAAGCTACACTACACTAAGCTGTTTTACAAAAAAAATCATCTGTCTTTTTGACCTACATCACAATTTGGGGCAGCAAAAGAAAAGAGTGTCTCATCTTGTGTAACTGAGACCTTAGACAGTCTCTCTATTGTGGTGAAAGTTGGGTATCAGGTTTAGTCACTGGCAGGAAATCTTTGCACAAACAAAGCCCTTAGAGAGCAATACAAACCGTCTCTTAAACAGCCGTGAGTAAGCACTCTGACTTGTTTATTCCAGAGAGACCTGCACTTGCAAGGTCTCTTAAACTGATAAAGCATCATGGGCTGGCAAATGAAGGTAAACATCAGTGCAGTGTGCTGAAAGCAGTTAACTGATGTTATATTGTGATATTCTTGTGTAAACATGACCTCTCACAGAGTTCTGCACAGGTCCAGTTTTCTGACAACTCAGTACTGGAACCGACCAGTTACCCACAATTATCTCCAAGTCAAATCTGGACCCGCCTCGATCTGTTAATATAAGTCTCACAACCGGGCCGAAAAATAAATTAAAATTAGAATTAACCATAGTCTATTTGGCAGAATCAATCAACTATGTTGCTATACTCACTACTGTGCCGTGTCTACATGGCCAGCTCAGGCGATGTCAATCAATTCCTGCACCAGTTCACTGAATCCTTCACCACACACACTTTCAAATAATCTGATGTCCCTGTGCAGTAATTCTACTGCTGTTATGTCTTGGCATTTTATGTTCATGGAAAAGTATCTGTCAATTGGTGCAACACCTGTGCTCCTGCTGCAGAAGTCTGTGTTGTTTCCTCATCAACAATGTGCTAAGCTTACGGCTTAAAATAGCCTACTGCACATTTCATTTTTGATTTCTACAGAAAAAGCAACATATTTGCTACATATTTTACGCAACTTTTTTTGCAGGTTACCTCACCCGGTGTTACCTATCAATGCCCATATGTATATTTTCAACGTTAAAATTACAACCGGATCAAAATTAGAAGTATAATATCATGACTAATATTTGTGCTCTTTTGAGTTTCTCAACGTCATTAAGGGACACAGAACGAACCCTAGCATCTACAGTAGCACTGTCAACACAAAAACACCCCCCAGTTTAAGATTAAAGAACATTTCGGGAAAATATGTTATTTGCTTCTTGAGAAATAGAAGAATGGATCAACACCACTCGCATATATGTTCATTAGATATGATGCTACAGCCAGCAGCCAATAAGCTTAGCTTAGCATAAAGGCTGGAAACAGCCTGCCTGCCTCTGTCCGAAGGTTACAAGAAATAGCTCCGCACACTACTCCCTGTAAAATCCTAGTTTTGGTGGCTGGTAGTCAGATTCTTTTTTTTTTTTTAGATTTGGACAGAGCCAGGCTAGCAGTTTTCTGCTGCCTCCCGTTTCGCTAAGTGAAAAAAAATTGGATGCAACAGAAAGTACATTTAGCTGCACTTTCCAACTCTAATGGTCCAAACAGGAAGAGAGAGAAACATTTTACTGACACCTGCTATAGCATCACTTTACTCCAGCAGCACTGCATGTTCTTGACAAATCCACCAACATTTTCCTCCTTTCACTTCCAACTTTATTTAAAATACAGCCTTGGGGAAATTAGAGGCCCACATCTTCACTTAAAACAATTCTGAACTTATCTTGAAACCTCCTATCCTATCTACCCATTCAGTAAAGAAGTATAACTTGCTAAACCTCAGAAAAAAAATTCAAATGCTAACTTTGAGTCGTTGGTAAAATGTTTTCAAAGTCACTGTCAAATAGGTGAGGCAACTATAAATGACACAATAACAAACGATAAAACACCAATACAAGAGCATAAAAGGGCTTTCTTTAAATGCCTTAAAGTACCATTTCATCACTTTGAAGAGAATGATAAAATAAACAACTCACAGCTTGGAATTCAACCCACAGATGAGAACAGAAAAACATTTTAAATTTTAGTGTTGCTACATCTCGATAGAGCTGGAGAAAGTCCATAGGGCTCTAATTACATCACATCAAATCATTTTTTTATTTTTCAACAACTACGATTTTTATTACGTGTATGGATGGGGCTGCAGAGAAGTAAAAAACTCAAAAACTCACTGTTCGTGCAGGATAAAATCCACGTTCTCTGGAGAAAGCTGTCCGGTCACAGGATGGTGAAACGTCGTGGTCCTCTGGTTATGACTGAAGTGATAGAAGGAGGAGAGAGAGGAGACAAAATTAGCAACCTCGGTTGCACTGTAAATACTGTGAGGGCATCACCCTGGATAAGCCCCACTGTGTTCACAAGTACAGCGGACCCGAGCCGATCATTCCCCAGGGGAGTAGCAGGCTTAGGAGCTCTGTCCAACCTCTCCACCCTGATGGGCCTTCATGCCTGACTTTCCCAGCCCTGTGTAGAATGTGAGGTGTGGCTGCAGGACACCCACCCCACCCAGTCACCCCACCCAACCCGTCCTGTACAGTCTGTGTGGACCAAAATGTTTGGCTCAGCACAAAACACAGGACAGTGCAGGCCTGGGCCTCCATCAGTTATAGACTCAGTCGAGCAGAGTGTAAAAGCATTTGACAGGGTAAACAACACGGGGTGGCATGGAGGGTCACTGTGAGAGTGTGTGTGTGTGTGTGTGTGTGTGTTGGGGGGAATTAAAAGAACCGTTCTCAAATTCAACAGGAGCTTGAATGCTTCACAGCAGAGAGTTGACAGTGACTGCTGTTGTACGTTTATACTGAAGTTTCAGCAACTTTGAAGTCAATGAACAAAAAGCTTTTTGGAAGAACCAGCCCCCAGTCCCCCCGACCAGCCCTACAAAACAGCACATAAGTAAAACACCATTTTTTAAAACCTTAATCATAGCTAGTTTATGAATATAAAAGTCCTCTGTTGACATGTTGATCAACAGAAAATGTTTAATCATCCTTTATTATACAAAATGCCAAACATCAGCTATTTTCCATGATTGTAAATTACACATCTATCTTTTAGAATGTTGTTTGAACAAAACAAACAATCTGAAGGCATCACCTCTTAGAAATTGTCATGGACAAGTTTCACTATTTTAACAAGGAATAGATTCATCTGAAAAATAACTTTTTTTGGTCCTATAATATCATATGAATGAGCTTTGCTTTCCAAAATGTGCTAATTCAATAAATACATACCCTAGATATTAGAGACACCGTCAAGAATTTCATATGCAGGGACAACAAGGCCTCATGAACATATAAGAATTGCTGCACACAGTTTGCAACAAAGTCACTAGTGACACAAAACAACAGACTCCAGCAGAGGCTCTTAGCAGTCTCCAACAGAAGCACAACATTGATGAGAAACACCGTGCACACTCAGCAAGTAAAGCCCATGTGTATAAAGGTTCAGAAACCTTTCCCATCTCTAACAACAATCAATACATAGTAACACTGTTTTCCATTCACTAGCAGCTCACATTACTCATGCTGTACAGATTCCTGCTTGATGTAGCAGAAGATCAAATCCCACAGGACTCGAAGGTTTCCCAGGAGACCCGGTGACATGGCAGCAGCAAGCTCCATAACAGAGACTTATAATGCCATTATTATCTCACAGCATGACACTCAAACACAAACATATGCATCTACATCTGTAGGCACTTTCTTTACAGCTCACACTAATGTCTGTTACAGTAGGGTTAGGCTTTTTGTGGGTGTTAACATGTTTTCTTGCAGCCCGCATCTAGAGGCCACAAGAGGACCTGCAGATCAACACCGGTTTCCAAATCCAGTCATGATGGTTTGCGGCATGGATATTAATATCAATATCAGAATCTTCATTGACAAGTCATTGAGAGAACCAATCAGAAAAACAGCAAAAATGTGTGAGAAAACAATATGTAAACCAAGACAACTTAATATCCACATAAGTGATTTTGCAGTGGCTGTACTGGTTTTGTTCATTTTTGTTTCTACTCTGGTTTGGAGGGAGCTTGGAATTTTATTTATTACTACTGGCTGCATAATGTTAACATTCTCAACTGCTGCAGGCTATGTGTTGGGTTGTCAAATACAAAGCAAAAAAGGACATCCAGAGCATAATGCAAAGAATTTATAGTTTTCATAAGCCCTGACGAATCACCTACGGTGGCCCGCAGGGAACTGTATTCACATTTTCACATGAATGTTTGACAGCTGGCTGAAAAAATCTCTACAGAGTGAAATGCAAAAAAGGGTGTTGAGGAGCATGAACAACCTTTGCTCCCAATCCACAATGGAGGAGAGCAGCACAGTACTGGGGATGGCATTAGTCACGATGCCAGTCTTACAGGACAAAAACACGCAGTGCTCTAAATAGTGGCATCCCTCAGGGGGATATTCTCACTGTTTCAACATAACAAGGAGCCTTGCAGCCCAGTCTGGGGGCGCTCTAAGAAAGAATAATTGTCTGAATAAGATGGAATTATAATCGATTGGTGGTAGCATGAAAAAGGAAACAGACTGTCCTGTCTCTTCCAGAAGTTATGACTGAGACATGCAAATGCAACACAGATGCTAAATGGCAGCCGCAGTGTGTTAGCGCTGTTTTACTGATAAACAGCTACTTAGGTCAGTGCAGGCGATGTCATACATGTTGTATTATGGTTACAGATCTGGAGGAAGTTGCTAACCACTGAAGCAAGAACACAGTTACTATGGTAACAAGAAAATGTCCCAACATATTTTTTTTACCATTGTAACTTTTTTTCATTCAAAAAATGTTTGAATTTTGGGCTATCAAAATCTAAATAACTTAAAATAAAATCATACATTTTAAAAGTTATGAATGTGTATGGAAGAGGTATTTGGTGGATCATGTAAATGGACTACATTAAAACATTTGAATTACATTGGCAGGAAAATGTTACTTAAATGGAAACTTAAATTACATTAATAGGAAATTATACTAACAGGATTAATACACCATTAACACCCTTATTACATTAACGGTTTATTATGTTAATGTGAATCCATTCCACTAAAAGCAGTGCTATTCAGCGTGGCACTTCTTCTATGCTACTCCAGAAGACAGGAAGTGTGAATGCATGCTCACACACCTTTGTCTTAATAAATATTAAACCAAACGCTGTGACATAAGATAATAAATCAACAAATGACACACACGTTAAAAAATAATGTTCATTATGTCATGATGACAGCCGTAAGACCATCTGTCATTCACACAAATGTGTAAGAAGTAATAGGTATATGCAGAATTTTTAGAGACCTTATGAAATTAAATGCAATATGTTAAACCTATTAACTCTAATCTCTTTGCCAGACTATTAAATGGTAAATAGGTATTTATGGCTGCTGAGGACAGTCACCTCAAATCCTTTCAGTGAGCCTAGCAGTGAATTTGGATATTGATCGTGCACATTCAAACAAAGGCTTGTTTATTTCTGAGCTGATATGTGAAGCACTTCTCCTGGGACACTGATAAATCCATGTCTGATTGCTTACAGAATATGAATGGGAACAGCGTGTCAGTGTCCTGAGAGGTTGTTTATCAGCAGCTGTGATTTCATTCTGCAGCATGGTTCAGAATAATACAAGATATAATAGACATCATAGTGTCATTTCGGAAGAGCTGCAGCAACAATGACCTGCGCTGTAAAGGAAGAAATGTTGAAAGTAACACTAAAAGCTTTATATAGCACCCTTTTGACAATGCCCTTTAAAACTGGTAATTAAAGATGATGTACCTTAAATGTCTGGGTCCATTTGCCATTTGGTGTATTTTGTGTATTTTTCTCTCTGCGTGCTGTGTCCAATGAAGCTTCAGTAGAGTTGGATAACATAAAACTATCAGTGTCTAAAACATAAATGGCACATTTTTGTCACTTGCTTTGATTGAAATCGCAATGGGCTTGTACCTGGAGTGACCATTTTGCACAAATTTAATCAGGAAGCAATCCAGACACAAGACATGTATGAAAAAGTGGCCTTTACCACGCTATCACTAATGTTTTTGCTAACTTCATACATATGTAAGACTGAGCGTTCATTCAACTGAAGTAGAACTAGATGAGGCAGGTAAAGAAAAAATGAGAAAACCCACAAAGTTAAAGCGGCAGTAATCCACATTCTGCTATGAACAATGGTCAAAATGTTCCAGTCACACAGTAGGCAGCTGTTTTCAGCAAAACAAGCTCAGAAAAACTCTTGTTGTTACTGTCTGGTTGCCAGAAACACAATTCCAAATAAATGCTTATGTTGTTCGATGTCAGCCCGATGTGTAAACAGGGCAACAACATCTACAATTTTACACTGTAATAATAAGATATGTGATTTAACACAAAAAATTGGTATACCACCATATGATAAAATATATATTACCCAGTTTATACCATAGCCACACATCAACAAACTTAATAAAATAAAAATATTTGTGGTTCTTTAACTTAAATTAGGTATTTAATTTTTTATCTTAGTTTTGAATATTATGAAATACATTTTAGGTACATGAGAATTCTTGCTGCTTGTAGCACTACAGTAGGCAACACGTAGCTGCCCACCGACAGCTGATAGTAGGAAGGGTTGTGTTTCACCAGGCTGGTCTTGGAGTTTTGAATCGTGAACAATTTTGAAATCAGGTTTCATTAAGCCAAATATATATCTGCCAACTGACTGATTTTCCCTTTTATGCATAAACTTCAAAACTCATAAACACTGGCTCATATAAAGCTGCCAGAAAACAGAAGGTATCTTTTATGCCACAAGATTCTGTATGAACGTGTGTGTTTTTATGTGTCCCCTTGTGTGATTTTGTGGGTCTGAGTGCTTTGAGGGCTCATATGGTATGTTATCTAATTTCACAGGCTGAAAGCTATGATCAGAGGTAGAGACGAAGTGTGTATGAACTCAGTGTGCACGAACAAAAACTTACAAAGGCATTGAAAATGTTGTCCATGTGGGTCAGATAAGAATATAAGTGCTTGAAGGCTTTGAATTCAAAGCTTCTGCTCAGGCAATGTGTTCTTCCTGTATTATATCTCACATTATTTTACTGTAGCTCACTAGGAGGTAAGTGCACCTGAAACACAGCATCGGCTCAAAGCATACAGTGCCGCTGGAACAATGTATTCCACTCATCTAATCGTTTCTGGTGTCCCAAAAAACTTTAATCTTCAAGGACAACTGAGGCACTACTCTACCTTCCCCTGCTCGCTCTC